AGCCTCTGCTGTCAGAGCAGTACGAGACCCTGTCTGACAGTGACGACTGAACCAGAACCTGGCTGAAAGCCCAGATACCAGGGGAACTGCCCACACTCAGGCGGCTCTGCCCACACCCCTCTCCCAGAACTAACCTCACTCTTTTTGCGAGTGAGGAGCGGATAGGGTGGCGTCATGTTTTTATTTTTTTTGGTTTTGGTGCTACAGCGCCGCCTGGCTGTTAGCTCGGAGCAGCAAGCAACAGGCAGGGCTCTCCGGAGCAAGAGTTGGATTTTGCTCCGGGAGCTCTAACCAAGTCTGTTGGAGAAGTTCACATAGTCGGAAAGGGGACGACGAACGGCGCAGTCAAGCTGAAGAAGTTCTTTCATGTGTAAAAAGAAGCATAAGAAGCTATTTCTGAATTTTGTCTGATTCTGTAAAGATATACCCTGTCGAGAACATTTGTAAATAGTGACCTTTTTGCAGTGTTTTTCTTAACTCGATTGTTTCTTATTTCGACGTCGCTTTTAAATCGATCCACTTTAAATTGGAAGAGCTGTGGTGTAATCTTTTAATAACACAGCTGCTCTCCTAAAACCCCGGCCCAACCGGCCCGCGGCCTCCCACATGAACAATATCACCTGCTGAAATCTTTCTTTACCCTTGCTTCGCTAATAGAGACCGGACCTGTGGTTAAAACATCACCCTCTGGCGCCGCCCCGGCCTGAAAGGTGCAGACAAAAACCCCGCAGCAGCGCTGATGCACGGACCGTACAATAAACAGACAGCGGAGGGATCTTCTCACCCCGTTGTGACAGAGAAACGACATCACAACAAGCTGAGAACACTGGTGTCATAGCAGAACGGTGAAGAGTCTGAAATAAGCTTGCTGGAGACGATATGGTTATGACTACTCCTGGACCCTGTCTGAATGATGAAAGTGAGCCAATGTGGTTTTTATTTTTCTTGTTTTTATTTTCTTTATTTCAATAGAGCAGACAACACAGCGTGTTACATTACTGCAGTTTAACTTTCCAAGCTGTCCAAAATAGATCTTGCTTAAAAAAAAAAAAAAACCCACGTTGTTGAAATGTGATTTCGTTTTGTTTTTTCTTTTCTTTCCTGAGGGATGATTTTCACCACGCCTTGTGAGTTAAGAGAGAAGGCAGCTTTAAAAACTTTTTTTTTTTTTTCTCAGAGATATGCGTTGGTTGTATTTGGATTAGTTTCTCTAGTCCCTCTTTTTTTTGTGTCCTGTCTGTAACAATCTGAGCTGTGTAAAAATGTCTTTTCGTTACACAAAACGCAGAATCTAACCAAACGTAAAGAATGCTCTGCACCATTGTTGCACTTTTTTTGTTTGCTTTGTGGCTTTGGACAACAGAAAGCATACTACCTGCTGTGTAACTTAATCAACCTCCAGCCCAGGATTTATACTAAGATGTGCTTTAACTTCTCCCCACCACTCAATCAAAACCTTGCAGCTGATCTTCCTCTTTCTTTGACTGCTGGTACATAATATATTTTGGTGTTAACACCTGCATCAGTTACTGTTTTAAGTGCATGGTACCGTCAAATGTCTAAGAGTTTGCTGTCGCAGTGATTCAGAATCTCTGTAATTTAATATCTGCTTTCGTTGTGTCTGTCAACAGCTTATGAGACGACTCCTGTTTGATCAGCATCATAAACAGCAGTAGCTCACTTCACAAAGGTTTCCCCGTATAACACCGTATTCTGGCTTTTCACTTTGCTTAGTTGGGAAATTCAACCTTGAAACTTGATATTCTCTCCTTTAATTTTAATAACAAAAAAAACATTTATTTTGTTGTTGTTTTTTGTTTCTCATCCTGTTATTTTTTTTTTTTTTTAGGGATGTTTTGTGTTTACAGACGCCGCGATAGAAAAAAGAAAAAAGTTTACAAACTTGAATCTTAAATCCGACATGAAGCCGAAAAAAGAAAATGATTTGGAGCGTCTTTGGTTTATTTTTTTAAAACTTTTAAATAGTACACCGTGGTGAATCATTTTTGCAAAGTGAGACTTGAAACCCCTTGTGTCCTATGATGTTAAAATGCAATATTTGTATCGCACAATGTCTCTTAGTAGGCTAATCCAACAGTTCAGACCAATTGAATAAAGTGGATCAGTTCTCCACCACTGACGGATCTGTAGGTTTACAGATGTGCCATCTTTTCATTGATTGCTTTGAATTTTATCTTTGACTGCACACTGTCATCATGCTTGGTCGCTGAGGTGTTCTTGCAACTGTCACTTGGATCTTTACTGACAAGTTATTGCATTATTAAATAAGTCATGGATTGCAGTATAATGAATATGTAATAACGCATGTCAGTCTATCAGAATAAACAGGCTGACCACCAGTATGCAATTTATTTTTGCATTTCACATTTCTTCTATTAAACACTTTTTTTGTTTCGCACAGTTGCACAAAGGAAGAGAGCTATAGCTGATATTTTAACATATCAATTATGGAGCTGTTAGAATGAAACCTTAATTACTGAGTTTGCTAAAGGTGATGGTTTTCAAAATGCCTCCATCAAGAAGCTGCTTAGGAAATCTTCTGACAGCTTTTACCAGGTCTGTTTAATGCCTACACCACACCATTATCACCCCTTTCTAACCTAATAAGATTTTATTTTATTTTTTTAACCATAGGATACAGCTCAGGAATGGTACACTGGCTTTGTTTAAAAAAAAAAACAATATATGTCTACAAACACCAAGTAAAATATTGATTTAAAATTATTGTAAATATTAATAGAACATTTGGAAAAATGTAAAGAAAAACTGTGAGGTACAGAGGCTTTGGTCTTCGACTTGGCCACCGCTATTTCAAATCATGGCCTGTTGATCTTTCCTGTCTACCTACTTTAATATTAATTAAAATAAAGGCTACTAGAGATTTTAAAAATATATGAAACCATTTATGCTGCATTTTCCCCCTAACAACTCACACTTCAGTTACATACAGAACAGACTGACATGAGCACAGAATGTATAAACAACATGCTAGAAAATTGCTAAAGCTCATTAGGAATCGTGTAATATGGGGGAAATCAGTAGTAGAGCAATTTTTATTATACCTTGTTTTAAGATTTTTAAATATGATTGAAAATGAACTATGAATTCAGAACCCTGGCAGGAGCCAGGAGAACCTTGCCTTATGTGAATTGTCCAGAACAGATAACTAAAAGAGAAAAATGTTTATTCTTAGATTAAAACTTGATAGAATATTAGGGATCAATTTTAATATCTGCTTAAATTTTTTTACTGAAGAATTTCACCGTATTTACCCCACGAAATCTGGTAGAGGTCAACAGAAAAGCAAATGCATCACAAACTATGGCTAAAGGTGAGAAAATGAAAAATTTTCATAAAATCTTTGAACCAAAAAGATTCTTATTGCATTGGTAAATAAATCAATTTTGAGATTGATTTCCCACATTTCATTTGACATACATTATTTAAAGCGAATTGTTCGTCCTTTCTTCTGATTTTTTATGAATAAACTCTGAATTTCAAGAAAAACATTCCTTTAGGGGAAATCATTGAACTGTCTTGAACTATCTGCTGAGTTGAGATTTTATTGACCACTCTGGTAATTTTCCCAATTTCAACAGTTGCACACAGATTATTTTCTATATTTTAAAAAGGTTTTATTACCTGGACTATACCTATGGCTTTTACACTATTGTCATCAAATAACACCAACAAAGACAATGGCTGCGGCATAAATAAACAGGTATCTCCAAATTCTTTGATCCATTTCCTTTTTCTAAGTAAATAACATTTATGAATAAACTTAATTTCTTTACAAGGCACATCATCCAATTAAAACTGAGTGCATGGTTTAGGCAAACACACCGTTAACTTTTGACAACAGCATCTTACCAATACTAGAAAGAACCCTTTGCAGCAACATGTTAAAAAGGAACTGAGCTTTACTAAACAGTTACATTTGCTAGAAAGTAAGGTGAGTATTTATGGTTCAGTTTAATTGCATCTTGTTAAAATTTAGGTTTGTTATTTAAAAAAAAAATTGTATAATCTTGCTTTTTCAATAAAATAAGAGTTACCAATGAGTATTAAAACTTATCATGTTACAGTTTTAACCCTTTATAGGCCAAGTTACCGTTTTTGATCAATTGCATTTGACCAATTAGATGAGCGCTTGAATGATATATTGCCTACTGTAAATTAAGTTGAAAGAAACAATTCAAGAAAAGCGGGTAAAAAGCTAATTAAAAAGTTAAGAAGCCTAGTTAATAATTATATTTAGGTTTATAAACTACAAAATGTAAGTGCCAGTATCAGCATTAATGCCTCTAAGGTTATGTTGTACCCAATGGCATAACGACAAAACAATAGGCCCGTAAGCAACAGTATCTGAGTGGGCTCCATATGAAGTACAACACCTCTGGATTACCCATAATTCCAAGTCTTAGTGTAAAAAATAAAATACTCAAATACGTAGTTCTTTTAAGATATTTATTACGGTTTGAAACATATATGAGCGTATTTTTTACCAACCGTCTAATGATAACTGCCTAATTCCGATGGGGGCCTACTAGGTGTCAGTGAAGGGGCCCCTTATAGGTAGGGGGCCGTAAGCAACTGCAGTCCCTGCTTACCGATATTTACGCCAATGGTTGTATCAAATAAAATTTGTTTCTTTCACTCTTAGAGTGTTTATTGTGATTTTCTTATAGAAGCACTTTTGTTATTGTTTTAAAATATATTTGGGCAAGGTGAAATACATTTTTGCCATCAAAATATCCATATTTTTGAATGTTACAAAGGTAAAAAGGTGTCCTGGATTCCCATAACACTATTGGCTTAAAATTAGGATTTTCAAAGTATTTCACTGAGTGCCCTATAAAGGGTTAAATCAACATGTACGGAAACAGTGAACTTTATCTGGAGACCTGCAACGACTTTTACTTTGAAAGGAAAGCATCACAGCTCTAAAACACCGGAAGTCGTAATATTATGCTCGTCGCTTATTGGCTGATGAAGTGCGGTAGAGCCAGAAACAAAACAATGTGTGAAAATGCGGTCCTTCTTACCTGCAGTGGCAGAACAGCTTTTCAGAGATATCCAGAAAGTCTATCGAGAGACGACTCAAAGTAAGAAAAGGGCATGAGAGGATATTCTGGGATAGCGCTAGCTAGGCTGGTTTACTGAAAACCGACTCTTACGCAGAAATGCCAACTTCCCGTCTTTCTCTTGGCAGATTTACTCTTTGTGTATTGAGTTTCAACTGCCTTTGTACACGGTTTACTTTTCATTTGAATAATTAAACGTATGTTTTCCTCATTCCAAAAGTGGGAAAAATGTAGCTTCATTACAGCTGTGTGGTTTATTGTAGTTTAATATCTCACAAGTAGGGGGCGCTATTGCATTGGGTTATATGTTGGGCTCTAGCTTTTGTTTGAAAAGGCTATAATTATAACATCAATTCAGCAGGCAGGAATCTATAAAATCTTCCACAATTATTACATGTGGCATATTTTCATATAGAAGTTAAACGTTGTTGTTTTCTGTCCAGTCTTTACGTTTTAAACAGTTTTGTTGTACACAGTAGACAGCTTTATACATTAGAGCTGTGAAAAAATAATTAATTTTTACTTTAATTCTCCCTCCAACAGTTCACACTTCATGTTTTAGATAAACATTTTATGTGACAAAGATTAATGGAGTAAACAGATTTAACTCAAGATTTTATTTCAGAGTGGGAAAAAAGCTCTACCAAACCCACCTGGCTCTGTGTGAAACAGTGATTGTAAACATTTTAGGGTAATTTTTCTTTCATTAATTGAATCAGAATATTTCTTAGCAATTTGAAAAGATCAAACAAAACCCATAAGAAATCTTTGTCAGCAATAACCTTTATATGAGACCATTAATAATAATAATTACTAAGCTTTTACCGTTGTTTGATTTCAAATTGATAATTTTATCAATTTATCATTCTATTTCACTTTTCTTTAAATTGCTTTATTTTTCTAAAATATCTTTGCTAATGTTTTTTTTCTCTGTCTTTATGAATTTCTGAGACATTGTTATCATTAGGCCATGTTGTGCTAACTCATTCAGCCAACTATTACAGCATGTTTACTCGGCTGTGCTAAAACAAAACCCAGATAAATATGATGCAAAACTGTTTTCGGTCGCTGAACTATCTGGCCTTGCAAAATATTTCTCAGGAAAAAAACAATGTGGAGACATTTATTCTTGAGAAAAACTCTGATGAACCTTAAAAAAGCATCATAGTTGCCACCTTGTTGCACCACCTGTAGTCGATCCTGTGGTTTCTGATGTTTGAGGCCCACATTCAACAGACAGAAAATATTTTTCTCTATTACGAATGTTCTAGTATAGCAGCTGGTCATCTATAAATGTTGAAATCTACAAATTTTTCTTATCTTCTGTTTTGTTGCACAAAGAAATCTAGCTTTTCCTTCTTTCCTAATGCAGAGCCATGATTCATCACTGAATCCCATTTTGCTTCAACTGTCCACAGTCCATCACCGCTTCCTGTAGTCAATTAGAACTTCGGTTCCTTAATTTGAGACAATCAGGCTAAAAAAAGAAAGACATAAATGTCACTCTACCTAAAACTTTTTTTCAGGTAAGGTTAAAGTTAGGATAATTATCATTGAAGATGTGTGAGTTTATTACACCTTGGTATTGGCTGCCTGTTGCGTGTCAGAACTGATGTTTTAATCTAATTAAGACAGTTCCTCTGTTTGGATATACAGTTATAATCTTCATTCTGTACGTGGCAAAGATATGGAAATAGAATAAGAGCGGTTTCCTTCAGCTAAGAACGAAGTGTAATATTTTAATAAGGCTGGATCCATGGATGTGTCCTTATCTGCTAACGTGTATGATGTAATGCTGTGATGATGTGGCAGACTGGAATTATATAAAATGCCTTTTTAACTGTTAATGGGGGCCACTTCCTGAGAGGTGAGCCCAAAGGGAAACGGCTGCCTTCTGTAAGCTCTAAGCAACATCTCTGATCTGAGTAGGATCACAATTTCTCTCAGAATCTGTTGTCATATCTCCTGGTTATTTAATACATATAAGTTATGAAGTGTTATTTAAAGAGATTGTCCTGAGTGATCTCTTTCTATGTTAAAGAACCGGAGAGATAGAGCATCAGGGTGCAAACACAGAGCCGATCTTTAACACTATAGAGAGCTATCTTCTTGCGCCTGCTTTTGACACATAAAGGAACTCCTTCAGTTTCAAGCTAAAATCATTCTCTGGCTGTAAAATTTGGATGTTTTACATTGTCCTGCAATCTTTGTTTTAAAAAAGGTGTTTTATAAAGCAGACATTTATAAAACTTTAAAATGCAATGTTTTTTTTTTTATAAATGATCATGTGACTTTTGGGACTCTTAAACTGGTAGCAATAAGGGAAAATGGGTTAGTTACTCACCCTATGCTATGATTTCTGAAGGTTGATCAATTCTATTTGCTCTTTGCTTGTTTTATCCATAGCTGATCAACAACAAGTTTTTCTTTCTTATCCTCCAAATCAAGCTGCCTCCTTGAAGATGTTTTGTAATTCATTTCAGCCGACTGATCTTTGCACCAACTGATTGTGCTAACTGATGTCTTCGAGCATCTCTGTTGCCCAAATCAAACTTATGCGATTAATTGTTTTTACAAATCAGTTGATGTGTTATTTTTTTGCCTGAACTTGAGCTAGATTATATTATTTACTACATAGTATTTAGATATTTTAGGTAGATTTTGCAAATGCAGAATGTCCAGCTGCTGAATACAGAGCATTTTCCACCAGTTTTCTCTCTGCTCCAAAATAAAACACAGTCATCACACAGAGGATTTGCATTTGTTTTTTATATCCCAGTTACTTTACTTGGTTTTATGTCTCATTAAAAAAATAGTAGTTTGTCACATTTTAAAACAGGTCTTTTTTTTTTATCTTTTTGCAGTTCCAGATGATCTTCTGATTGCGTAAGTACCAACTTTCCTGATAATTCATACATTTGTTCCTGTACTTGGTGCTATTTATGAGCTTTAGTAACATTTTTACTTCTGTTGGTTCTTAAAAGCTTGTAAATGACCTCTGTGGGATTCCCACTAGCACCAGTCATCCAGTGTGATCATAGTCGTGACGAAAAAGGGGAGTGTATGCTATTTCAGTCAAGTCAATGTCATGTGCTAAACCACACTAAGTAGGAGAAATGAGGCATTTTTATTGCTTGGTTTGCCCCAGGTGACGTTGAGACAGAGACAGTGTGTCATGACGGAGACGTTTCCTGGCCTGCTGTCAGTGAAGGGCTGCTCTCTGTCTCTGCGGCACTGTCACATCCTGTTTGTTCACCAGGAAACTTCTAGTTCATGGACTCACTCTGATAAAATCCCTGTTTGTTGAAATTCATCAGCAAATATTTGACTTTTTTTTAAAATAAACCGATGCAATATGAATATATTAGTTCAATACAGCTGTCTGTTTCTCAAAAAGTCACAATGCCCATCCTACTTCTTTTCATTTTCTATTGATAGCATTTATTCATTTCTTTACTCTGGAGGTTTGCAGACTCATATTTATTTATTTTCTTGCAAACTTAAAACAATAAAAAAAAATTTGTTTTTAAATGAAAATTTGAGCAAAAAAAAAGATTTTAACATAAGGCAGGAAAATCTTATGTTCGTCCTCTTTTCAACCTAATGAAACCCTATTGGATAATCTGCGCAGGAAAATCACTGATCCATTCGGTAAACGCCTCATTCTGTCAACATCACCAACATATTTTCATACAAAAGTTTTTATAGCTGGAAAAGAAAGTTGCCTTTTCTCGATATTGGACGAATATATAAAAACACATTCAGTAGGAGAAAAGAGATAGGAATCCTTTTTTCTGCATGTCTGTTGTTCATTCTGGCTGCAAGAGAGCAAGCGAGAGCATTGCTTTCAGGCAGGAAGTAGGAAACATCTGTTCCATCCTATTGAGCGTTTGGCTTGGTTTATTGTGAAGCATGTTAGCAACCTTTAGGAACTCCCATTAGGATCTATGTTCTTTATTAAATGGACAATAAGGCTAATATTTTAGGGATGATAGCTGTTGGAACAGTGCTAACAGCTAATAACAGATGCTAAAAGACGGGGAGGATGCAATCTTGGCTCATCTTATTTTTGTTTCAGAATATTAGGCAAGAAAT